GCAATGAATGAATGGAAATCCAAAACCTCTGTAAAAAAAAATTAAAAAAAAAAAAGAGAGAGAGCAAATACCCCAGAGACAACAATCCAGAAGAAATATATTGCTGAGAAGCAACTTGAATAACTATGGAAAAAAATGCAAAAGATAGAAGAAAGAATTTAAAGTATAGATAAAAAAATTATTACAAGACAGAGAGGGTACAGCTAACACAGGACTGGAAATTATAGAAAAGCATGAAAATGCATCCAGCTAACACAGGGTTGGAAATTATAGAAAAGCATGAAAATGAAATCCATAATATGAAGACCAAAATGGCAAAAGTGTCCAAAACACCGGTAATAAAAAAAAAGAGATGCAAAGAAAATTAAGAAAAGATTAGAATCATGTGGAATAACATCAAAATGAACAACATACATATGATTGGATTTTCAGAACATGGAAGTAACAGGGAAGTCACTGAGAAAATTGTGGAAGAAGTACTCAAAGAAAACCTCCCAGGTAATCTGAAGAAAAGGGAAATCCACATTCAAGAAGCGCAGCGAACACCAAATAGACTAGACTCACCAAAAACCCCCATCAAGAACTATCATAGTCAAATTCTACAAATCAGAAGATAAGGATAGAATTTTAAAAGCAGCACAAGAAAAAGAAAGATTCACCTGCAAAGGGGAACAATTAGATTAAGTTCTGATTTCTCAGCAGAAACCATGTGAACTGGAAGAAAATGGGATGACATATATAGAAAGTTGAAAGAAAATAATTGGTAGCCAAGGATCCTATACCCAGTCAGCAAAGCTCTCTATCAGATATGAAGGAGAAATTAGACCCTTTGCAGAAAAGAAGTTAGTTAAAGAATTTGTGAAACTAGACCAAAACTACAAGAAATTTTAAGTGAAATCCTTCACATGGAGATGCCAAAGGAAAGTGGATGGACCACTGTGACAAAAAAAAAAAACAACAACAACAAAACAAAACCACCCAAAACAACAAAAACAAAAGCAAACCCCAAACAACAAAACACAAAACCAAACACAAAACAAAACAAACAAACAAAAACAAAAAGAAACACTACAAATGGCAAGAGTAAAACCTGGCATGACAAATAATCACACTTAATGTGAATGGACTAAATGTGCCAATTAAGAGACAAAGAGTAAGATCCCCACCTCACTCCATATACAAAAATGAACTCAAGGTGGATCACGGACCTAGGACTAAAACCAAGGACTATAAACTTCATTCAAGAAAAGCTTGGAAGAACTTTAGTAGTTCTAATCCACAACATAAAGACTCTTCCAAGTATTCTGAAAAATTTACAACCAGGAGAAGATAAAATAGATGGATGGGACCTTCTAAGAATCAAATCCCTATGCACATCCAGAAACTTCTCTAACAGGGTAAAAAGGGAAG